CCACGCCAACATAGCATGGCCAGCCAGCATCTTGTCTCAGGTCTCCCGCGGATCTTTGAGTCGCCCCCTTGCTCGTATGCGCCGACGTGCACTCCTTGCATCAAGGGTAGGCTGCGTGCCGCACCTCACTCCTCCCTTCGTCTGACCACCGCTCCCTTCCAGACCCTCCACTTGGACGTCTGGGCCCCAACCCCTCGTCTTGAACCCGAGCGAGAGCGCCACTTCCTCATGGTCGTTGACAACTACTCCAGGTACACGATGGTGTTTCCTCTCGCAAAGAAGTCTGAGGTGACTTCTATGCTGATCCGGTGGCTCTTGGCCACTGAGGGCACTCGTGGTATTCGCGTTAGTTGTCTCCACTTCAACCATGGGGGTGCGTTTTGCTCCAACGCACTTGCCGGATTCTGCAGCGAGCAGGGCATCACACAGTCCTCGACGCTTCCGGGGTCCCCATAGTAGAATGGGGTTACTGAGTGCCGCATTGGCTTGGTCATAGAGATCGCCCGCACCTCCATGATTCATGCCCGTGTGCCCCATTTTCTGTGGCCCTACACAGTTCTCTACACCGCCGACCAGCTAAACCTTTGGCCTCGTGTCTCACGACCAGGAGACTCACCAACCAGTCTTTGGACTGCGTCGGACACGTCTGGGGCTGCCTTGCGCTTGTCCGCGACACCTCTGCAGATAAGCTCTCGGCCTGCGTCATCCCCTGTGTCTTACTTGGTTTCCCGGTGGACGCTCCTGACTTTGCATTTTAACATCCTCCCCTCCACGTTCCCTCGACTCCCGTCACGTCCGGTTTGACGAGTAAGTGTCATACTACGCTCACTACCCCTCTCAAGGTCTCCCAGTTCCCCCTCCCCCCCTCTTCCTCGCCCCCTCTCGTCCTCCTGCTCCTGCTCCCCGGGTACCCCCCCCCCCCCTCCCCACCCCTGCTCTGAGACCATTTCAAGAGTGATGCATAGCGGAATGATAATGACTAGCAAGATGGGAGATATAAACCCCAAACCTAGAAAATGTTGTACTCCTTACAGCCCCACTCACTATAGCCTATCAACACAATGTATAATATTTGACACATGAGCATTGTTTTGCCCCACGTGAGGAAGCTCAAGGTGTATAAATGATGGGGGTTTGGATCTATGAGTATATGTTATTCTGCGGAACAGGTTTCCAAGATGAAGCAACTCCTATTTTGCTTATTTACTCCACAAGCATGAATATTCAGGATAACGATACTTCACGTGAGTAGCAAGTCACTTTGTGGTAGACTGTACTGTACTCATATTTTTGAAACAATCACGAGTCAAACAATCACAGGGACAATTGACCACCACCAACATTTTCCACGTTGGCGCTCGCAACGGCATTCTTGCTGGCGCTCAATTTCCCGTTTCCTTAAAAAACAACACTGAACTTAGGCATGGGCAAAAGACCCGGTCGGGTCGGGTCGGGTCCTTATATTGGGATTGACTACCCGGGCAGGTCGAGAAGTGTATACCTAGTCGGGTAACAGAATACCCGGTACCCGGCCCGGTGGTTCTAGGTCGGGTCAGTTATACCCGTACCCGGGGGGTATGCCTAGGGCTAGGGTGACAAACATATAAGAAAGCCAACATAAGGGTATTCGGGTATACTCGACCCGACCCCAGGTATACCCGATCTGACCGCGGATTGGGTCAACATCCTGGGGCCAAATACCCGAAGTCGGGTATACTCAACCCGACCCGATCTGAGCCTTGAGTCGGCCTAGACGGGTCGGGTCGGGTCGGGCTGTTGCCCATGCCTAAATGAACTTCTGTCGATGTGTGCAACTTCAAATAGTGCACGGCTTGACGCCATCGTCGAATAAACCAACCCAGCAGGAGCGCCTATTGCGCTCCCCGCCTCCTCATTCGTCTCATGTTGTCTGCCTACCAACACTAGAGAGCTCAGCCAACACGAGCGATACACCTTCTCTAGCATGCGAGTATTTAGCTGAATGAGTTCGATTGAAGTTACAGGTGTCAGAATCCCAACCACTAGACCATTGGGATAAAAGGGCTTTTTTCAGTAGAGGGTCAGTGCGCCCATGACCCCCCAGGCAAACGCGCCTGTAACCCTCTCCAGGATCAATCGGGCATCCACAGTGCAGATCTACCGACACCCCCCCACACTAGGAGGCCCAGGATTAAGCACAGAGGCAACGGCCTACATGTGCATACACCGGGAATCGAACCCGAGACCGCTCTGATACTATGTAAGAATCCCAACCACTAGACCATTGGGATAAAAGGGCTTTTTTCAGTAGCGGGTGAGTGCGCCCATAACCCCCCAGGCGAACGCGCCTGTAACCCTCTCCAGGATCAATCGGGCATCCACAGTGCGGATCTACTGACAAAATGGTGGGTACTAGCCCTCAGCGATAAGTGCTAGTTTCGCGAGGCACCACCATGACAAACCAGAGAGCTGCTTTGGATAACGGCTACTAACATGACACACAGGGTAAGCTCTCGTTGGCGCAACACTAACAAGTGTCGGATTGGTTAAATTCTTTCTCAAAGGTCGTGAGCAGCCCATGGCATCCAGCGCGCCTCGCAGCACAGCCTTTCTCCGAGGCACAATCAGCGCGTATCCCCCAAGTCCGCGTGCATTATTTGGTCCTCTTCCACGCTCAAGTTTGAGCCTCCCAAATGGTGAGCACGTTTCCAACATCCTATTCCACGGCTAAACTCTTTCTCGTCTACAGGCCGTTTTTTCTATCATCGTTTTATGAACTTATTTTTCCCCTGTGCGCTATGCTTTTTCTGTGTGCTGCTTGCTCCTCAGAAAATGATGACGTCTTATGTGTGGATATATTCCAGCCGCACAAGCCTCATCAACCATGGAACATCGTCGCACGGAATTTTGTGCGATGCGACTCTGCGCACCAATGCTCGTCTCGTCCCCAGAGCCAACACTCAATGAGCGCAAGCGCGACAGCGTGGGCAAAGGGATGAGAAGTCCTGAGGGGGCGGCGGCCGCCAAACGGCTGCGGCCGCGGAAGGAAGGCAACGCGCCAAAGAAAGCGGAGGCACCCGTGTCGGGTGCCGGGTGTGCCAAGGGCGAGCTAGATGCATTAAAGACGTGGCTGTGCAGCGGAGAGGCGCACAGAGAGAGTGCAGAGGGGGAGAAGGACGGCGGCGGCAGGGGCACAGGCAAACCATAGGCCGGCCCAGGCAGCCGCTGACGGCTCCTCAGGTGAGACGCGAGTGTGTGGAACGGCTTCCCACCAATGCGGCTTTCAAATCATCCATGCCTCACGTCGCCCACACCTGCAAATTCGTTGCTTCTTGAGTCATCGCAAGCCATCTCTCACCCCCTCTTCTCTCTTCCCTCCCCTCCACTTTCCTATACCCAGTTCATAGCACCATACCACTGCTCTGTGATGTCACAGCATGTGCTCACTCATTCTCATGTCGCAGCTTCACATCACTCTACTCATGTCACAGTATGTAGTGTCTGCTGCTGGCGTCAATGAAATTAGGCAACAAATCTGCTATCTCACAACATAAGATTAGTTGGCGCTGGCCCTAGCATCATATCACTGCTTACTCTTGTCACCACGAGTGCTCACTCCTCCTCGTGTCACAGCATCATATCACGTTGGCGCGTGTCAACGTTGGCGCGTGTCAAGGCATGTAGTGTCTACTACTGGCGTTGCAACGTGACGCATAAGGTCTATGCTGTTTATGTCACACCATCTCATCGCTGCTTTTGTTGTTTGAGCATGTGCACACTCTTGCTCGTGTCACGGCATCATATAACTACTGCTCATGTCAAAGCATGCAAGGTCTATTGGCGGCGTCACAACATGAGCCGACACTGCTGCCATGTTGAAGCATAAGGTGACTGTTGTTTCCTGTCAAAGTATTTCAACAATGCTTTCTAATCCTTCCTGTCACGGCTTCGCATAGCTGCTGCTCATGTCACAGCTGTCAGAACATTATAGCTTACTTATTTGTGTAGGCTATAGTGGGGTATCCCATAGGGGGTACAATCCCATTAGGGTTTCCTATTTGTACTCACTTCTTTCATAGTCATTTCATTCTCGTTCAATTCTTCTCATGGAATCAGAGCAGGTCCCCTCCTAGGGACTGTTCATAGGGCCCACCGAAGCGCGCCCCGAGGCGCGCGTTTTTTTTTAGCGACCCCTCGTGTCGCCCCTAGCGGCCAGTTGAGCCGCCCTTACCTACGCGACCCCGCCGCCCTTTGGTCGCGGCCCCGTCGCCCTTACGTAGCGGCCCCGCCGCCCTTTGATCGCGGCCCCGCTGCCTCACCTACGCGGCCCCGCCGCCCTTTGGTCGCGGCCCCGCCGTCTTCACGTCGCGGCCCCGCCCCCCCCCTCACCTACACGGCCGAGCCGCCCTCACGTCGCGGCCCCCTCGCCCACACGTCGCGGCCCTGCCGCCTTCACGTCGCGGCCCCGCCACCTTCACGTCGCGGCCCCGCCGCCTCACCTACGCGGCCCCGCCGCTCTCACGTCGCGGCCCCGCCGCCTCACATACGCGGCCCCGCCGCCTCACCTTTACGGCCCCGCCGCCCTTACCCTGGCGGCCCCGCCACCCTTACCTTTGCGGCCCCGCCGCCTTCACCTTCTCTACTACGCCGCCCAGTACCGGAGCAGCCGACCCACTCAGCAGCAGCAGCCGAGCCGCCCAGCAGCAGCCGCCGAGCCGCCGGGCCGCCGAACCGCAGTCCACCCGAGCCGCCCAGCAGCAGCCGCCGAGCCGCCCAGTAGCAGCCGCCGAGCCGCCGAACCGCCGGGCCGCAGTACAGGCGAGCTGCCCCGCAGCCGAGCCGCCCTTCTGCCGAGCCGCCCTGCTGCCGAGCCGCCCTGCTGCCCAGCCGCCCTGCTGCCGAGCCGCCCTGCTGCGGGGCCGCTCTGCTGCCGAGCCGCCCGACCTGCCCTGTCTGGTGAGCACGGCCTCAGTGCTACTGCGTGCCCCTTCCCACACTGCTTGCACTGCTAGTCTGTCGTCATGGCTACCCCTAGTGTCCTAGCTTTTGACGCTGAGGGTCGCGCCATTGACTTTGAGGTCTGGGTCGACGACCTGCAGCTGTTCTTACAGTGCGATAGGGCAGACGGTCTTTCTCTCTTTGACCTCACCTCTGGCGCCGTCCCTGCCCCTGCTGCTGATGCTGACGCCACTGTTCGCTCACAGTGGGCCACACGCGATGCTGCTGCACGTCTTGCTGTGCGTCGCCACCTGCCTACCGCTGAGCGCGCGCACTTTAGCCAGTACAAGAGTGCCCAGACCTTGTACGACGCTGTAGTTGCACGCTACTCCTCCCCTGCCACTGCTGCACTGAGCCGCCTCATGCTACCCTTCCTCTTCCCTGACCTTGCCGCCTTTCCCACTGTCGCTGATCTCATCACGCACCTCCGCACTAGTGACACTCGCTACCGCGCTGCGCTTCCCGCTGACTTCTGCGCCAAGAACCCCCCCCCCCCCCCCCATGTACATCACTCTCTACTTTTTAGTCACTCGCCTCCCTGACTCCCTTCGTGTAGTCCGGGACCACTTCCTCGCTGTCTGTCCCACCACCCCCACAGTCGATAGCCTCGAGAAGGCCCTCCTAGCGGCGGAGAAGAGCATAGTCGCTGTAGGAGCCTCTCGAGGTGACCCCCGCGCCCCCATCTTTGAGGGGTGTTCTCCTTCCCCTCTCTTGCCCTCTATCGCCTCTGAAGCTGCGGCCGACCTCGTTGGTCTTGAGTCGGTCGGTGCCGCGTCTGCCCCTAGCGAGAGACGCCGCTCTGGCAAGGGCAAGGGGGGCAAGGGAGCGGGTGGGGCCAGCGGGGGTGGTGGAGGTGGAGGTGGAGGCAGCGGAGGGAGTGGGGGTGGCGGTGGAGGTGGTGGCGGGGGTGGGGGTGCTAGTGGCGACAGTGGAGGCGGGAGTGGCGGCGTCGGTGGCGGTGGGAGCAGAGGTAGCGGAGGCGGCAGCGGTGGAGGCGGAGGCGTGGGCGGTGGAGGCGGAGGCGTGGGCGGTGGAGGCGGAGGCGGGGGTGGCGGTGGTGGAGGTGGTCGGAGTGGCGCTTCGCAGCGGAGCAGCACTGGGGGTGGTCAGCGCCAGCAGCAGCAGCAGCAGCGTTCTCGCGACGTCCCCACCCCTCAGCAGCTCCGTGAGTGGTACACGCAGCGTCAGCGTGGTGGGGGTTTTGGTCCCTGCACCTGCGTTCTTCGCACTGGCGACCGCGCTGGAGAGCAGTGTGGGGGTACCCACACCGCCCAGCGCTGCTTTGGCCGCCTGACGGACGCTTGGCGCCAGCAGTTCCCGGAGGCCGCGGAGATCCCCCGCTGGGGAGAGCTGTCCGGTCTTGTGTAGCTATCTTTGATCTTGACTTTGATGCTATCCTTGCTGCCATGTATGCTGTGACCATTAGTGATGAGGGTGACTGTTACCGGTGTTTCCCGCCCGACCCGGGCATTGGTACTGCTGCTCTAGGTGCCAGCGAGGCTTCTGCTCTGGGTGCCAGTGCGTCTGTGCTCTCAGGTACTGGTGAGGCTGCTCTCTCACGCAATAGTGAGTCTGCGCTGACAAAATTAGAAGAAAGAAAGAGAGGTTGAACTAGCAGAAATGGGGATACAAATAGCAAACCCTAGAAGGGTTGTACTCGCTATAGAGCACCCCACTACAGGCTAGAACATAAGATAATATTCTGACACACCCCCATAGCCAAAGTGGGGTGTAATCAGCAGAGCAGGCAAAGTAGTACAAGCTCAGGGTGGATCACAATGTCACCACACAATCTGAGCACAAGTTCAAGAAGAAATAGTTTAGAGTTCCCAATTATGAGCAAAGCTAGTGGTAGTCACAACGGGAAAGTGAGGAGGAGGAGAGAGAGTGAGGGGAGAGGAGATAAGAGGCGACGGCTGAAGCTGCAGACACATGGGCAACAGGAGGCAGACTGGCACAGCGGCTACCGGACAGCGCCCGGACTACAGGAGTAACAGGCCCCGCGGCTCAAGTAGCGGCAGACGGGCAACGGACCCTCGGGCGGCTGGCGTAGAAGTCTAGCTCACTGGGCTACCGGGACAGCGCCCCGGACTACAGGTGCTGCGGACAACAGTACGGCAACCTCCATGCAGCTTCCCCAAACAGTCCTACTCCCCGACACACACCCGCTGCTACACCGCTAGCTCCACTCCCACGCACTCCCCTTAAACCCTAAACCCCAGTCTCCCACACAACCACCCCCCTCAGCGACAGCTGCAGCAGTGGGAGACAAAGGAGGAGGAGGAGCAAAGGGAGGAATGCAAACCGACCACCCCCATACCTGCCACCCCACAGCTCGCCCCTCCCGTCGTCTGTCGTGGCAACCTGAGGGGGCCGCTTGCGGCCCCCGAAGTGGGGGGGGGAGGAGGGGGGGCGCGAAGTGGGGCGGCGGGGCCGCGACGGGTCGGTGGCGGGGCCGCGACCGGAGTTGGCGGGGCCGCGACCGGAGGCGGCTGGGCCGCGACGTGAGGCAGCAGGGCCGCGACCGGAGGTGGCGGGGCCGCGACGAGTCGGTGGCGGGGCTGCGAGAGTGGGGCGGCGGGGCCGCGACGGGTCCCCGTCGCCCGTCGCGACGTGTCCAGAGCGGGACGCGGCGAACGCCGCGGCAGAAGCCCGCCGCGCGCCTCGGGGCGCACTGCGGGCAGAGAACCGCCGCACGCCTCGGGGCGCACGGCGGGCAGAAAACCGCCGCGCGCCTCGGGGCGCACGGCGGGTAGAAAACCGCCACGCGCCTCGGGGCGCACGGCGGGAGGAAAAAGTAGCAGCGGAAGCGAGGTGGTAACCCACCCACAGGATCGATCCAAGGGGATCGACCTGCTCTGATAGCATGACAAAATTAGAAGAAAGAAAGAGAGGTTGAACTAGCAGAAATGGGGATACAAATAGCAAACCCTAGAAGGGTTGTACTCGCTATAGAGCACCCCACTACAGGCTAGAACATAAGATAATATTCAAACATGCGCTCTCAGGTACTGCGTCGGCTTCGGCCTCCCACACCTTCACCCTTCACTCTGGAGCGTCTCGCTCCTTCTTTCGGGACCGCACCACACTCACGTCGCTTAGTCGGCCGGTTGCGGTGTCCCTGGCTGACCCCTCTGGGGGTCCTGTTCTATCTCGCTTCTCCACAGTCCTCCCGTGTCCAGCGGCTCCCTCTGGCACCCAGTCTGGTCTCTACCTCCCCTCGTTCTCTACGAACTTGGTGAGTGGTGCTGACCTACAAGATGCGGGAGTCCACCAGCTCACTCCTGCTCATCAGCGAGTGACGCACTGCATAGAGGCTAGCAAGCTACGTTTACACGGAACCCAGGGTCGAGCCTGTACACTCTGACCACTGCTTCTCCTCCAGTTCCTGAGTCAAGTAGGGTCCCTTCGTCAGGTCAGGTGTTCGCTGCAGCGTCCAGGTCTGGTCCTGAGTCTGCCTCCTGTTCGTGTCGTCGCCTGTCTCACAAGACTCTCCTCTGGCACCACCGCCTGGGTCACCCCTCTCTGCTTCGGCTCAGAGGCATGGCCTCCCGTCTTCTTGTGTCTGGTCTCCCCCGGTCCCTCCCTCCCCTTCCTCAGGGCCCTGGCCCTGCCTGTGTCCCCTGTGTCGAGGGGCGCCAGCGTGCTACCCCTCACTCCTCCCAGTTTCCTCCGACACAGGCTCCGTTGCAGACACTTCACATGGACGTGTGGGGCCCTGCCCGCGTCCGTGGACTCGGTCACGAGCGCTACTTCCTGTTGGTGGTTGACGACTACTCGCGTTACACCACACTCTTCCCCTTGCACAGCAAGGGTGATGTCACTGAGGTGCTGATCGACTAGATCCGCGCAGCTCGTGTCCAGCTCAGGCAGAGCCTTGGCTCGGACTTTCCTGTGTTGCGTCTGCACTCGGACAGAGGCAGAGAGTTCTCCTCTGGCCTTCTGCGTGCCTACTGTCGTGCGCGAGGCATCCGTCAGACCTTCACGCTGCGGGACTCACCGCAGAAAAATGGGATTGCAGAGCGCCGCATTGGCATGGTCATGGACGTCGCTCGTACGTCTATGATGCATGCGGCTGCCCCCCATTTTCTGTGGCCGTTTGCAGTCAGGTACGCGGCGCATCAGATCAACCTCCACCCCAGGGTCTCCAGGCCGGAGACCTCACCAGCCCTGCTATGGACGGGGAAGGTTGGCGATGCGTCGGCGTTCCGGGTCTGGGGATCTCGGGCGTTTGTCCGCGACTTGTCTGCGGACAAGCTGTCCCCTCGCGCTGCTCCCTGCGTCTTCCTGGGGTTTCCCCCCGACGCCCCTGGGTGGCAGTTCTACCTCCCCACCTCTCGCCGTGTTCTGTCCTCCCAGGACGTCACGTTTGACGAGTCGGTTCCCTACTACCGCCTCTTCCCCTACCGCACTCCGTCCCTCCCCCCACCACCGCTCTTCTTGGTACCAGGTCCCCCCCCGGTAGACCCCCTTCCCCCTCAAGGTCCTGCCCCTTCAGGTGTGTCCCAGGTAGACGCGGTCCAGCCTGTCGAGGTCACTGGTGACTCTGGTGCTGCTGTGGGTGCTGAGCCTAGTAGTGCTGTGACTGGGGGTGCTGTGCCTGGGGGTGCTGAGCCTAGGGGGTGCGGAGCTTGGGGGTGCGGAGTCTGGGGGTGCTGAGCCTGGGGGTGCTGAGCCTCGGGGTGCTAAGCCTAAGGGTACAGAGACTGGAGGTGCTACGCCTGGGAGTGCTTTGCCTGAGGGTCCTGAGCCTAAAGGTTCTTTGCCTGGAGGCTCTCAGGGTGCTTCGTCTCGCCGAGAGCCACTCTCCCCACAGGAGCTGCGTGAGTGGTTTGCCCGGCGCTGGAGGCGTGCTGCTGGTGCTGGAGGTTCTTCGGCTGCTGAGGGTGCTGCTGCTGCGCGTCCCGGAGGTGCTCGTACTGGGAGTCCTGGAGCTGCTGGGCCTGCGGGTTCTCCTAGAGCTGGTGCTACTGAGCGTGTTGGCGCTGGGACTACCGCTAGTGGTCCGACTTGCAGTGCTCCTGGTGCTGCTGGAGGTTCTGGGGCTACTGGAGGTGCTGCTGGAGGTTCGGGAGCCACTGTAGGTGCTGTTGGAGGTGCTACTGGAGCGGGTACTCCTGCTGGGGGTACTGGTGCTGTCCCTACTGTTTCTAGCGTCGCCACGCGGCCCCGAACGTACTTCGTTCCGCTCCTGCAGCAGGTTCTTGGTCTTCCACCTTCTCTTGGTCCTCCTCCTCCTCCCTTAGAGGGTCCACAGCCTGTCGAGTCACAGTCACAGCTACAGCCTGCCTTCCCTTTGCCTGCTCCTTCTCCCTACGCTCGTCCGACTGGAGGTCTTACTGAGCGTCGTAAGCCTGCGTCTCGTTCTGCGTCGCCTGTTCGTCCTGCGCACACTAGTGGTCGCGGTTCGCATCAGCATCCTCCTCCTGTCCCTGGCACGCACCGGATGTCTCTGCGTCCGTCCACTGTTCCTCTGCATGCCCCTTTGCCTTCTCCTCCTGCTTCCTCTCTTCCTGCTCTTGCCGACCCGGAGTCGGACTCTCTTCGTGCTGCCAGTCCTACTGTCACGCGTCTCCTTGCTACTTCCGTCACTGACCCTTCTTTCGAGTCTTCTACTGCGTCTGCCCTTGTTACTGAGCTCGTCGAGTTTGCTGCAAGCTGTCGTCTAGACTACGCTGCTAGTCTTGTCGCAGAGTCTGAGTCTACCTGTCCTCCGTTCCTCGGGGGTGAGTGTGCCCTTGGCACGGACGTCCTTGAGGACAGGCAGGAGGAGTTCCAGTGTCTGGCCGCCGCTTCACCTCATCTCGCGTCTGTACTGCTCACCTTTGAGGGAGACCTGGATGCACTAGACATCCCGACTCCGTGCTCTTACGCGGAGGCGATAGAGGGTCCCTACTCCTCTCAGTGGCAGGCAGCTATGGATGCAGAGATGGCTTCCTGGAAGTCCACAGGCACCTACGTTGACGCTGTCCCCCCTCCTGGGGCGAACATCGTCAGTGGCATGTGGATTTTCAGGGTGAAGCGGCCGCCGGGTTCTCCGCCTGTCTTCAAAGCGCGTTACGTGGCTCGTGGCTTCAGTCAGCGGCAGGGAGTTGACTACTTTCAGACCTTCTCCCCCACCCCGAAGATGACCACTCTTTGGGTACTGCTGCACGTTGCTGCTCACCGTGACTACGAGCTGCACTCTCTTGACTTCAGCACTGCTTTCTTGCAGGGCAGCCGGCACGAGGAGATCTGGCTGCGTCGCCCACCTGGCTTCACTGGGTCTTTCCCTCCTGGTACCCAGTGGAGTCTCCGGCGTCCAGTCTACGGTCTCCGCCAGGCGCCGCGTGAGTGGCACGACACACTGAGGACTACGCTGGCGGCACTTGGGTTTGCTCCTTCCACTGCAGACCCATCGCTGTTTCTGCGCACTGACACCTCTCTGTCGCCGTTCTACATCCTCGTGTACGTTGACGACTTGGTCTTTGCCACAGCTGACACTGCTAGACTCGCCTACGTGAAGTCCGAGCTGCAGAAGAGACGCACGTGCACTGACCTGGGTGAGCTGCGCAGCTACCTTGGCTTGCAGATTACCCGGGACAGAGCACGCCGCACCATTACCCTGACTCAGTCACACATGGTGCAGCAGGTCCTTCAGCGCTTCGGCTTCACGTACTCCTCGCCTCAGGCCACTCCTCTGTCTACTCACCACTCGCTCTCAGCTCTGCCTTCAGATGAGTCCGTAGAGACGAGTGGCCCGTATGCAGAGCTTGTTGGCTGCCTCATGTACCTGATGACCTGCACACGACCTGACCTTGCATACCCTCTTAGCATTCTCGCTCGCTATGTTGCTCCTGGGAGACACTGACCAGAGCACATGGCTGCAGCGAAGAGGGTGTTGCGCTACTTGTGCAGTACGTCGGGCATGGGGCTAGTGCTTGGAGGGCGCAGTCCAGTGGTGCTCACAAGGCACGCGGACGCTTCTTGGGCTGACGACGAGGCTACGCAGCGGTCGTCACAGGGTTACACCTTCAGCCTTGGTTCTGGCTCTGTTTCGTGGCGGGCTACCCGCTCGTCTTCTGTTCTCGGCTCCAGTTGTGAGGCTGAGATCTACGCCGGGGCTATGGCGGCCCAGGAGCTTTGCTCGCTCACCTACTTGCTGACCGACCTTGGAGAGCCGCCTCGTTCTCCTCCAGTCCTGTACGTAGACAACAAGGCCATGCTGGGCTTGTGTCGAGAGCAGCGACTGGAGCATAGGACAAAGCACATTGCTCTCCGCTACTTTCTTGCTCGTGAGCTACAGCAGCGTGGACAGTTGCGACTTGCGTACGTGGCCTCTGAGGCCAACACTGCTGATGTCTTCACCAAGGCACTTGCGCCTTGTGATCATCAGCGCTGCTGCACGCAGCTGGGTCTTGTGCCTGTCTTGTCTCACTTGCTCACTTCTTGACCTTGCTTGTACCTTTACCTATATATACTCTTGCTCTTGCTTGCTTGACTCTTGTATATCTCTATATGTGATCTTGCATGTGAACTGGCCTTCTGGCCTTTGAACCTGTGGTCGGAATGTGTGGTGACTTTGTGATCCACCCTGAGCTTTGCTTTGCTTTGCTTGACTGGTCTTGTGACCCCTTGTTCTCCCCACTTTGCCTATGGGGGTGTGTCGAAACATTATAGCTTACTTATTTGTGTAGGCTATAGTGGGGTATCCCATAGGGGGTACAATCCCATTAGGGTTTCCTATTTGTACTCACTTCTTTCGTAGTCATTTCATTCTCGTTCAATTCTTCTCAACAGCTTCATATAGCTGCTGCTCATGTCACAGCTTCATATAGCTGCTGCTCATGTCACAGCTTCATATAGCTGCTGCTCATGTCACAGCTTCATACAGCTGCTGCTCATGTCACAGCTCTGCTGCTCATGTCACAGCTTCATATAGCTACTGCTCATGACACAGATTCATATAGCTGCTGCTCATGTCACAGCTTCATATAGCAAATGCTCATGTCACAGCTTTAGACTGCTGCTGGTGTCACATGATGTAGGTTCTTCTGCTGGGGTCATAGCATGAGGCTACACTGTTGCCAAGTTACAACATGTGATGCGTCTACTACTATATGCCATAAAATCGGATTACTGCTCTATATGTCACAGCATGGGCTCTCTCCTGCTCATGTCACAGCATCATACCACTGCTGCTCTTGTCACATTACGTGCTCACTGCTGCTGATGTCGTCACCATGTGCTCATTGCTGCTTTTGTCACAGCTCGTGGCCTTCGCCATTGATGTCTCAGCAATAGCATTCTGATGCTCGTTTCAAAGTGTGAGGCTACTGCTCTGCCTCTCACAGCATGTGCTCACTTCTGCTCTGTATCCCTCTTTTGCCCATAACGACATTGCCTCCCATCATGGAGGTGCAGCTTGCTACTCATGGCTCCAGCGACAAGTGCAGGGTTACATGCGGCAACGCAAGCATGCAAAGATGCAACGACGGGAAGCGTGAAAATATCGCGGCACATGCGACCGTTACTGTGCGTATTACGCGTAGGGTGGTCCGCCTTGTTTGCTGGCGAGAGGGGGGCGACGGCCGACGACGTGATTCATTTCTTAGCGGAGGCAGCACCTGAGGCTACGTCACGGCTCATCAGGGCTGGCCTAGCCACTGGTGAGTTGGGTTATTGATGGAATGTCACATGCATGCGAGGAACTGGCGCATAGTTGGCGACTTATGAAGTGTGCGCAGTTGGGGTCTTGAAAAGTGTGGCCGCTTTCTTTGCGCATGCGCCTTGGTCCACGCGCGCGCCTTGGTCCACGCGCGCGCCTTGGTCCGCGCGCCCTGATCCACACGCACGCCCAGGTGTGTGCGCGCGCCCCTGTGTTGACGCCTGCCCTGCATTCTCTGCCTTACCTCCCACTCCCCATCCCCACCCCCCACTTTCTCCCAACCTCCCCTCCCCCTTCCAGCGACCCACCATAGCTCTGGTGATGGGACCCAAGGGCCTCATCAGCCGCCTGCTCGACTCCAGACCTGCATTGCCTGCCCCACTCCCCCTCCTCTCTTCCCACTCTCCTCCCCCCAGTGCCCCACGATAGCGCTGGTGATGGGTCCCAAGGGTCTCATCAGCCGTCTCCTCGCGCTTACTCTTAACAACGCCTGCCCTGCAATTCCTCTCGTACTCCCTCTATCCCCTCCCCAACCCCCACTCCCATGCCCCTCACACTTTCCCTCCCCTCACCAGCCGACCATAGCGCTGGTCATGGGACCCAAGGGCCTCGTCAGCCGTCTCCTCGCACCCAGATTCAATGGCCTGTATTCTGAAATCTGCCTTCCTCTACCCTCCCCCCTTCCCCCCTTCCCCCCTTCCCCCCAACGCCCCACGATAGCGCTGGTCATGGGACCCAAGGGCCTAATCACACCCAAATGTGATGACTCCGGTTGTGGATTGTCGGCTCTCCTCGCACCCAAATTCAATGACGTCTGTCCTGCATTGTTTGTCTAATTCCCACCCCGCCACACTCCCCATCCCTCATCCCTCCCCCCCCCATTGACCCCAGTACCCCACCATAGCGCTGGTCATGGGGCCCAAGGGCCTCATCAGCTGTCTCCTCGCATCTAGATTCAATGACGTCAGTCCTGCGGATCTTGTCTTATTCCCACCCCGCCACACTCCCCATCCCTCATCCCTGCCCCCCCCATTCACCCCAGCGCCCCACCATAGGGTTGGTCATGGGTCTCAAGGGTCTCATCAGCCGCCTCCTCGCACCCAAATTCATCGGCGTCTGTCCTGCATTGTTTGTCTTATTCCCACCCCGCCACACTCCCCTTCCCTCATCCCTGCCCCCCCCCATTCACCCCAGAGCCCCACCATAGCGTTGGTCATGGGTCTCAAGGGTCTCATCAGCCGCCTCCTCGCACCCAAACTCATCGGGGTCTGTCCTGCATTGTGAGACTTATTCCCACCCCACCACACTCCCCATCCCTCATCCCTGCCCCCCCCATTCACCCCAGCGCGCTGGACATTGGGCCCAAGGGCCTCATCAGCCGTCTCCTCGCACCCAAATTCAGTGACATGTCTTTCAAATTCTTCCTTACTCTACCTTCACCCCCAACTCCCATCCCTCACAGATGCTGAGTCTGGACGCTCACAGACGGGCGCCACGGTTGAGTTGCACCGCCAAGAGTACCATCGCATTTTCAAGGCCCACGCTCAAGTGCCCTTCGAGAAGGTCACTGATTTATTACAACGGCCAGATCGGGAGCTGTTTGGTGTGAGATATGCCTTTCCGCTTATGCGGTTAGATGATCGCGGGAGACCAAGGCGTGTGGAGGGCTTGTCTTGGGGAGGAGCAAGACGCGGGAAGGCATTTGCTCTACAACGCCAAGGAGGTAATGCCTTTCAAACATGCTACATAGCCAAACACGGGTGATGCTGTCTCACGATGACGTGTCGCCCCAACACCCATATCCACTTATCATACCACTATTGCTGAAGTGCAGGTAATGCACAGCGCGCTGCTCTTAGCGGCACTACGAACGATGGTGGGGTGGAGAATGCTACGGCTTCATCTCATCCTTCCGCGCCTCCTTTGCCCGTCGGGGGTGGTGGTGATGGCGAAGGCATACTCTCTACTTCTTCCGTGCCTACTCTGCCCGTCGGGGGTGGTGGTGATGTCGAAGGCATGCCCTCTACTCCTTCCGTGCCTCCTTTGCCTGCGGGGGGTGGACATCATGCAAACGGCAGCATGTCATTGCCTACAGCGTCACCGAGCACGATGAATGGCATGCCAGAGGACAGGTGAACAGTTGATTTACTACAAAATTTGGAATTCATGTTACAACCTTATGAAATCATCTGGTCCCACTTAGGCTCTTTACACTTTCACGGCAACCATACGCTCACTATTTGTGTCCTTTTTCTATACCCCTCGTAAGGCCTGTTTGCAGCCATCCGCGCGCGAGCGCGTGCGGGACAGTCCCCATGCATTGGCCTACATCACCTAGTGTTGATGATATCCCTGAGCAACGGGTATGTCTAGTCGAACCACGTACCGTTGTCGGGTTCTTCAAGGGGTGTCGCTTAGTGTGCTCGCATCAAAATACCTGCGGAGGTGCTATGTCTCTCGGGTCGTGGAAGTTTCTTGGGCTTCAGTTGGCATGTTTTGGAGATGTGATAAGTGTTCCCATGGTGTGGAATTCTGGTCGTGCACCAATCGAACCCTTGACAAGAAGAGAGTTGGGGTTGGTGCACGAGTGCCCATGCTACACTCAAAATATGTGGGAGCATTCCCGCTCGCTGGGATGGGGTATCAACAGATGTGGGAGTTTAGCCGCAATTTTGGCATTCCATGTCCTGGCAAAAGCACGTTCTATCGATACCTTGGGGGCGATAATGGGTTATGAAAAACAATACTTAGGGAGGCGGATAAGTCGATGGCTTTGGTGCAGGAGGAGATGAGCAAACGTGACATTCCAGCCGAATACGTGACGGTGGATGGCCGATGGTCACATGTCTGAGAGGGTGAGTGGTGCACAGTGTTGTTCATGGACATACCGTCTCGGAAGATCTTCTACTATGTAACAACACGTAAAGGGGTGGATGATAAATCGTCGGTGCGATTGGAGCGGATGGCATTCGACAGAGGGGTTGATGAGTTGAAGCTGTTGGGGTTCGATGTGAAGGGCATCATCTCGGATCAAGGGACCACGTTTAGAGGCGCTGCGGTAGAGCTAAAGCTGGATCATCAGGTGGATTGGTGGCACGTGAAGAGGACGCTGTACAATCTCTTCTGCAAGGAGCTTCAGGATCAGGTGCGGATGGCTGTGGAGGTGGACAAGGCTAGCTGTGTCGAGGAGCTATGGTTGGCTAAGGTGGAAGAGTTAAAGCAGTGGTTGAGTGTTAGAATACTAGCGTGACTTAGGAGCCATGGCTAGTGAGTGTCGAGAGAATTTTGGGTGAGGAAAGTCGAGAAGGAAGAATGAGAGGTTTCACTATAGAAAGTTGGGATACAAATAGCAAACCCTAAACTGGGTTGTACTCACTACAGAGTACCCCACTGCAGGCTAAACAGCAAATACATTCTGACACTCCCCCATAGTCAAAGTGGGGTATAATCAGTAGAGAAAGCAGTCATAGAGCAGGTTCACAATGGCAAGCAAAGCTAGAGGCTATCACAGAGGGCAAGTGAGGAGGAGGAGAGTACTGTGGACGGAGAGAAGATGGGAGGCAACGACTGAAGCTGCAGAGGCACGGGCACAGGAGCGACTGACTCAGTGGCTACCGAAGCAAGGGCGACGGACTACTAGAGTGACTGGCTCCGCGGCTATAGACGAGCGGCAGGAGCAACGGACCCACTGGCGACTGGTGCAACAGGCTCACTGGCTACCGAAGCAAGGGCGACGAGCTACAGGCGGTGCAGGCGACACGACAGCTACCTCCACACAACCTCCTCCAACTGACCCACACCCTTGACACACACCCCCTGCTGAACCCCTAACTCCACTCCCACGTCACCCCCCTAGCACCACTCCCTCGGCTCCCACACACCCACCCCCCTCAGCGGCAGCTGCAGCAGTGGGAGACGGAGGAGGAGGAGGAGCAGGGGGGGGTTCACACACCCGCCACCCCCATACCCGCCACCCCGCAGTTGCACCCACACCCGCCACCCCCATACCCTCCCCCACTGCTGCACCTGCAGCAGGGGATGGAGGAGAAGGGGGAGGGGGGGGGGGGGGGCGGGGGGGGGGCTGGTGCTGCAGATCCCCTCCCCCCCACTGCTGCAACCGCAGCAGGGGGAGGTAGGAGAAGGGGGGGGGGGGGGGGGGGGGGGGGGGGCTGGTGCCGCAGATCCCCTCCCCCCCCACTGCTGCACCCGCAGCAGGGAGGAGGTAGGAGAAGGGGCGGCGCAGGAGCCGCTCGGGCGACAGCAGGTTGGCCACACCCGCCACCCCCATACCCTCCCCCCACTGCTGCACCCACAGCAGAGAGATGGAGGAGAAGGGGGGGGGGGGGCAGGGGGGGGGCTGGTGTTGCAGGTCCCCTCCCCCAACTGCCGCATCCGCAGCAGGGGGATGGCAGATCGCTTCCCCCCCACTGCTGCACCCGCAGCAGGGGGAGGTAGGAGAAGGATGAGGGGGGGGAGGAGGGGGGGGGGGGGGGGGGGGGGTCGGTGCTACAGATCCCCTCCCCCCTTTTGCTGCACCCGCAGCAGGGGGAGGTAGGAAAAGGGTGGGGGGGGGCTGGTGCTGCAGATCCCCTCCTGCCTCCCCCTGAACCTCCAAGCTCCCCCCCTCTCCCAACACAAGGTGCGGCAGGGAGAGAGAGAGGAGGAGGCGTGGCGGCAGCTGCTGCTGCTGAGGCACATCCGCCACCCCCTCACACCCTCTCCCCGCCATCCCCATGAAGGGGGGGGAGGGGGGCGGGGGCGGAGCTGCGCGTGCGACTGTAGGGCACGCGGGCTGGAGGAACCCCCTCTTGCCACCCCCTCACCCACCATGTTGCAACAGGGCACCGGGGCCGCGGTTAGGGGCGGCAGGTCGAGAGGGGCCATGGCTAGGGGCGACGAGGCCATGGCTAGGAACAGGGCCGGGCGCTGGGCAGGTACGGGGCCGGGCGCTGGGCAGGTACGGGGCCGGGCACTGGGCAGGAACGGGGCCGGGCGCTGGGCAGGTACAGGGCCGGGCGCTGGGCAGGTATGGGGCCGGGCGCTGGGCAGGTACGGGGCCGGGCTCTGGGCAGGTACGGGGCCGGGCGTTGGGCAGGTATGGGGCCGGGCGCTGGGCAGGTACGGGGCTGGGGCGCGGGCTAAGTACGGGGCCGGGCGCGGGCGTTATACGGGCCGGGCGCGGGCTAGGTACGAGGCCAGGCGCTGGCGACAGACGGAGCCGGGCGCGGGCTAGGTACGGGCCGGGCGCGGGCAAGAGACGGGGCCGGGCGCAGGCGTAAGACGTGGCCGAGCGCGGGCTAGGCACGGGCCTGTCGCGGGCTAGGTACGAGTCGGGCGCGGGAATAGGAACGGGCCGATCGCGGGCTAGGTACGGGCCGGGCGCGGGCGACGGAATCGACGGGGCCAGCGGGGCCGAGGGGCCGAGCTAGGGGCGACGGGGCCAAGGGGCCGAGCCTAGGGGCTAGGGGCGACGCCAAGGAGCGACGGGCCGGGGCCTAGGCTAGCAGGGCATTAGGTGGTGGGCCCATTAATGTGAGGTCCTAGGAACTATTGCTCTGAGACCATGTTAGAATACTAGCATGACTTAGGAGCCATGGCTAGTGAGTGTCGAGAGAATTTTGGGTGAGGAAAGTCGAGAAGGAAGAATGAGAGGTTTCACTATAGAAAGTTGGGATACAAATAGCAAACCCTAAACTGGGTTGAACTCACTATAGAGTACCCCACTGCAGGCTAAACAGCAAATACATTCTGACATTGAGGACCAAAGGATTGGAGAAAGAGGCGAAGGGGACACTCAAAGCATCACTTATGAAGGCGGTGTGTGAAGCCATGGGTACCATTGCATATGTGAAGATGACCCCTGATAAAGCAAAGTGGAAGTTTCCTGAGTTGCGAAAAGTCCGGCGGCTAGGAGGAGAACGGGCGGCGGTAGATGTCCCAGTGGGATATGGCGAGGTGCGTCCTGATACTACTGGAGAGATGCAGCCCATCGTTCGAGATGCTGCGGTTGACGAGGCGGATGCGGGCGCAACCCAAGTTGATGTGCAGTGGGCGGATGTGGAGGAGTTATGGCAATACAATATCCATCCTGTGCGTGGTGCGAGACCATCGTCATTGGCTAGTTCTCTCATCGTGCACGCACATGCGGGTGCATGCAGTAACTTACGATTCATCGGCGGGACGACTCCATGGGCCAACGATGATGAAGCTACTGGTATGAACGCTTTGTGAAACTTACTTTCCATGCCATATTCAGATTGGAGTACGCCGCTTGTTTCCTAAAATTGTTCATACTGCTCGTTTTGACCTGACAGAGACGATGACTGGCTGCAACAACGATGGTGCAGCGGGTGAGACCGACAACCACGGAAGTGACGTCGTAGAGAATTCGCCCCGTTGGACTGGGCGACGAAAACGGGGCGGAGATGAGATAAACGCCGGCGATGAGGAGAGCACGGTGGCGCAGCGCTTCGCCTCGCATTTCTTCCATGTGATGATGCGTTGCGCGGCGCTGTTGAAAGCGGGCACCCCTATGACTCCCGAAGATGTGGCAAAGGAAATTGGGACGGCACCTAACCACTGGGCAGGTGACCACTCCGAGTGTGGACGGAACGGGAGTATTCCTCCAAGGTGTGTTACCGAGAAGTGGGGCAGGGAATGGGCACTTTATGAGCCTAGATCGGAAACGCACAAGGCGGTTCTTACATGGTTCAAGAAACGGTGTTCGCCAGACAAGGTGAAACCCTATGTTCACGGAGCCAACAGTTCCATAAACGAGTCTTTCCATTCCCTGATCATCAAATACGCTGCTAAGCGTATCAGGTTCAAAGGTAGTCTTGAGGCATTAGTGGGGCTGGCTGTCCTGCATTGGAATAACTCGATGGACAGGCTGGTCACATCGTATCGCACTCGTGTACGGCAAGTAACTCGGGTGCGACGGGGCAACAAGGATCGAACCCTCGGACCTATGGATTGGTCTTGGGTTGATCGGATTATGGAGGACTGTCAACGATCGCTGGGGTTTGGAGTCGACGATGAGATTATGGAGACGGCCCCAAAGAGGCAGGCGCAACATCCTGTCGACTTACCTTGTGGAGGGCGACACCCATCTGTTGTTGGGCCGGTTACTCCTGTGCGAGAAGGTGGCATAGTCCGCGGCCTTACTTCGACGCGCCGTGCTGGGCGACGTATTTTATGTAAGATGCGAACCACATTCTTGCCAACCCTTACTCTTGTCTTATGTAATATATTTTGACGCTCCCCTCTTGCGATCATGTTGCAGGTGATGCCACCAACCATCCTCGGTAAACGTTTTGGAAACACTTATGCCGACGTGGAGGGATCTAAATCACCATTTTGTCCAACACGCCGCGTCAATTTAGATGTCAGCGATGCCAGTGAGCGCCTTTGAGGGTAATAGTGTCAAATGCTGTAGCCTGTAGTGAGGTTTGTCTTAGGGGGTACAGAAGTTAGGGTTTGTCATATGTACCCCAACCAACATCAATGGAAACACCATTCCTCATTTTGACATGGTATCAGCTAGGTTAGGATCCTGTGGGATCCCGTTCCTCCGTTCTCCGTTCGTACCTCCTGAGCCTGATCCTACCTCTCGTTCGTACCAGTTCCGTTGTTACCGAGCCTAGCGCCCTTTCCCCCGTCGCTTAGCGCCCTTTCTCCCCGTCGCCTAGCGCCCCCCCCCCCCCCCCCCCCCCCGTCGCGTCGCGCCCTTTCCCCCCCCTCGTCACGCCCTTTCCCCCCGTCGCGTCGCGCCCGTTCCCCCCGTCGCGTCGTGCCCGCCTGTTCCCCCCCCGTCCCGTCGCCCTGTCCCGTCGCGTCGCCCTACCGCGTCCCGTCGCCCTGTCCCGTCCCGTCGCCCTGTCTCGTCGCGTCGCCCTACCCCGTCGCGTCGCCTTGCCCCGTCTCGTCGCCCTGCCCCGTCGCGTCGCCCTGTCCCGTCGCGTCGCCCTGCCCCGTCGCGTCGCTCCCGCCCTTTCCCCCGTCGCGTCGCCCTGCCCTACGCCCTGGCCCGTCGCCCTGCCCTAAGCCCTGGCCCGTCGCCCTACCCTAGGCCCTGGCCCGTCGCCCTCCCTAAGTCCTGGCCCGTCCCCCTACCCTAGGCCCTGGCCCGTCGCCCTACCCTAGGCCCTGGCCCGTCGCCCTACCCTAGGCCCTGGCCCGTCGCCCTCCCTACGCCCTGGCCCGTCGCCCTACCCTAGGCTCTGGCCCGTTGCCCTCCCTAAGCCCTGGCCCGTCGCCCTACCCTAGGCCCTGGCCCGTTGCCCTACCCTACGTCCTGGCCCGTCGCTCTAGCCCGCTCTTCCGCTGCGACTGAGTCCTCTTCCCCCCCGGTTGTTACTCGCCTGTTCGTTCGCTTTAGTCCTCACTATGGCGACTCCGCGAGTTCTTCGTTTCGACGCTGACGGTAGACCCCTTGTCTTTTCCGTCTGGCTTCTTCGCGCTCGCCGTCTGTTAGAGAGTCAGGTCCAGGGGGGCGAGACCCTCTGGTCACACGCTACTGGTGACCTCCCTGAGCCCCCCGAGCCTACAGCTTTAGGCCCTGCTCCTGACGACGCTGCTACGGCTCGCTTTGCCCGTCAGCGCGCTGACCGGACGGCTTGGACGTCGCGTGACGCTGCGGCCTACATCGCACTCAGCAGCCTCCTCCCTGAGTCCGAGGAGGTCCACTTTACTCAGGTTCGCACCGCTGCTGCGTACCTCACTGCGATTAAGGCCCGCTACTCTACTCCCGCTACTGTCTCTCTTGGCCGTCTTTTCCTCCCGTTCCTGTTTCCTGATCTTGCCTCGTTTGAGCGCTCTGCTGACTTGATCGCTCACCTCCGCTCGCTTGACGCTAGTTACCGCGCTGCTTGCACTGAGGCACAGCTTACACTGCTTCCTCCCCCCATGGCGATCACTGTCTATTTCATCGCCACTAGCCTCCCTGACCGCCTTGCCTCCGTTCGTGACGCGCTTCTGCTGAAGCACCCTAGTGAGCTGACTATCGAGGTCCTTGAGTCTGCACTCAAGGACGTCGAGAGCAACCTTTGTTCGGTAGCTGCCGCCTCTGGTACTGTGTCCCCCCCACTCTTCCACGGGTGCACAGTCCCGCAGTTACCCACCTTCACTGCCTCTCTTGCCACTGCCGCTACTGACGCGACTGCGGCTGCTGTTACGACTGCGTCGCGGTCCCGCGGCAGGGGGGGCAAGAAAGGTGGTTCTGGTGGAGGTGGAGGCGGAGGTAGCGGAGGTAGTGGGGGTGCTGTTGCGACTGGGGGTGGTGGGAGTGCAGCGTCTGGAGAGACCCCTCGTGCAGCGGCTGGTGACTCCACTGCACCTGCTGGTGGCGGCGACCCCCGAGCTCGTCAGTCGCCTCCTGTACTGCCGGCCCCGCTAGGTGGAGCAGCGGCGTGGTACCACGCTCAGCGTCAGCAGCACCTTCAGCAGCAGCAGCAGCCGCTTTCCTCCCAGCAGCCTCAGCAGCAGCAGCGTCAGCAGCTGGCTCCGGGGTCGGGGCTGCGTCAGCCCCAGCGCGGTGCGGCTTACCCTCCCTGCCCCTACCAGGTTCAGACAGGTCCTCGTCGGGGCCACCCTTGTGGCTGCTTTCACCCCCCTGGTCAGTGCTTTGCTCAGCTCACTGACACGGTCCGGTTGACCTACGGGGTTGGCGGTCCTGCTCCTGACTGGCTTCCTCTGGTTCAGCGCTACGGCTCCGCTCTGTGGGGCATGTCTGCTGAGCAGTTAGTTGATCTGATTAGTGCTCCTCATGCTATGTATGCTGTTGCTGACTCTAGTGTTTCTGACTCTGTTTACTCTGGTGTTGTTAGCTTAGGTGCTAGTCTTGCTCAGTTGCCTGTTGCTAGTGTAGGTACTTGTGTAGACTCTAGACCAGCGACTACCTCAGGGGACGCTTCGCTGTCGTTCACACTGGACTCTGGAGCCTCCCACTGCTTCTTCCGGGACAGCACGACACTTACACCACTTCCTGCGCCTGTTTCTGTAGCGTTGGCTGATCCCACTACGGGACCAGTCACTGCCCGTCACACTACCACTTTACCGTGTCCTGCTGCTCCCTCCGGGTCTCTCACTGGGTTTCACGTCCCCTCGTTCTCCCGGAACTTGGTGGGCGTGCGACCCCTCGTGAGTCAGCACGTGGGTGTGTGGTTTGAGCCTTCTGGAGAGACTGCGGTGTGTGTTGACGGAGACTCTTACCAGCCTCTTGCTACCTTTACTGCT